TCTGAGTTTGATGAGGATAATAGTCATTTTTTATCTTGAATTTGGGACTGTTCTGGTGTTTAAAGCTGCTTAGAACTGAATGTCAAAGAATTAGATGGATGTTGATGAAATCTGCATTTATTCAGAAATCTGAGTATGTGTTCTGTTCTGGACAGAATGACCTAGTTCGCACTTATGTTTTAAACTGGATTTTTGATGTGTGAAAAATAGACATTTCGATGAGTATTTCAAAACTGATTTCATTCAAATTGGAGTTAAATTGGATTTTTGGCAAATTTTCAAAGTTGTCATTATTCTGCAGAAAACAGAAAACTCTGCAGCCTAGTCTGTTTTGGATTTAGTCTTTGACTGGCTTCCTTAACTCGGAATTCAATGAACTTTTGATATGTTGAAGTTTTATATGTCTACGTGTGATGTGGAAATGTTCACACCATTTTGAATCAAAATGGATTTTCAATGATTTTCCAAAGGCAAAGCGTTCCTGCCTAAATTGTTTAACAAAACTGAAGTTTCTGTTTTTAATGGAAATCTTTGATTTCTTTTATAAGTCCAGAGCAGACTCACATGATCAGAGGCTTTCCTAAGAGATAGAATTGTCCTAAGAAATGGATATATTGGTTTAACAAACCCAAGAAGTGGAAGTGGGTTGTAAATCAAAGTGTTAATGTGAGTTGGGGTTTGATGTTGATCCTTGTTGTTTATAGGGATTTCTGACTCTCTTGGAGCTCTACTGTGACGTTTGCTTTTACGGTTGAGTGGACACCAGGTAGGGGGTCTTCACGCCTTGGTTAGAGGTTTTCCTTTGTATATGTATGTGAATATTGATGCGTGAGAACTCTGCATCGTGTGTTTGGTTGCTAGTATGCATGTTAGGGAAATGGATTTGATTTTTTACAGCATGCCCTTCTTGTGATACAATTTATACTTAATTTGTGACCTGAGAGTGAAAGGAGCCGTGTGCTACCTTGGGGTTTCGATCCCCTAAACCTCCGGAGGGGCTTGTACGGATGAACTTGTACTGATGTAAAAGGTATGAGTTTATGTAAAAAGGACACTCTTGCTAACCCTTACTGTTGTGTTGAGTTCTTAATCAGGTATGGGTAGTTGGTCTGTTGGAACCGGTCACGGAATTTGTGGTTTTTGAGGCCTCGTATTCTATCATCTTGCTTGAGCATGAAAGCTAATTTGACTCAGCCAATTGTTTTTGTTGTGCATGCTTTCCTCTTATAGTGTTAACTATATTTAAGGGTTAACTAGTGATTTGCCCCCTGAAATTAAAATAAAATAGTAAATTCATGCAATTGCAATAGAGGGTGCTATATGATGAACCCTCTATTGAATTACAATAGGCTAATCATGAGATCCACATGCCAATAAATTGAAGCTATTGAACTGTACCATTGCAAGTAAAATTGCAGTTTAATTTAATAGATGCCAAAATAGTTCAATTTATTGAATATAGATCATTGACGAATACACTATATAGTCAAGAAGATACTCAAAAAAAACTCAAACTAAGTTTGTTTTTGAAAGAAGTAAAAGTTTCAATCAAGATCTGCGACGGATCTGAAAACTATATAAATCAAAGTTATTAATTATGAAGTTTATATCAACAGGAAAATGATTAAATCAAATAATGATTAAATCAAATACAAGTATTATCAGTAGAATGTCGTTCTTGACGAAAGAATCTTCAACCATATCACTCAGAATAAGTTATGATGCATTGACATATGGCCTATGAAGTATTATGAGAAGTTATGATGCGATTGTGGCTGCCATCTCTTTTCTTTTCTTTTCCTGCAAAAAGGAGTTTAATACCCAAAAGAATCATTACATGTTCCATCTACTATGTAGTTGCACTTGCACCGAAAGTTCTTCATACAATGAAATGAAACATTGTTACTAAAATATCCCTATAATCATTTGAGCAAAAGTGAAAAAAACAAAAGAAAAACTTTCGGTGTTTGTTTTTTCAATTTCTCCATAAACTTTATCTAAGAAAGCGATTTTTAAGACAACAAGATCTAGTCCAATGAAAAAGAACTTTGACCTTGGTCTCTAGTTCGAATCCATAAAATTCGTTTCAATAATCTTTCAATTTTTTAATTTCAGACCAAATAAAAAATAAAAATCTTTGGATAGAAAGACCATTTCAAAGAAAGCGTGTTTGTGAAAAAAGAAATATCACCGTTTGACCACTTTTGTAGCTGCCAATGAAAAGGTAAAGGTAGTGCCCCTCACCTTCAGTAAGTTGCAGCGTTTGATGACTTGGAAGTTGAAACGAAATCTCCCCCACATGGAAGGTGGTAGGAAACTGCTTCGTTAAGCCCGCATAAATCTAACCAAAGCGTCACTACCATACCCAATTCTTTGAGCTTCTCCATACTTGTAATTATCTGCCTTCTATCTCTTCTTCTCCTTCTTCTTCTTCTTCTTCTTCTTCTACATATGATGTCTTTCTGAGTTTTAGAGGCGAGGATACACGCACCAATTTTACAGATCATTTGCACGAGGCTTTAGTCCGTAAGGGAATCCGGACCTTCATTGATCGAGAGCTTGTAAGAGGAGAAGAAATATCACCAGCCCTTGTCAAAGCAATTGAAGAATCAAGAATTTCTCTCATTGTATTCTCTGAAAACTATGCATCTTCGAGGTGGTGCTTGGATGAACTTGTCAAGATCCTTCAATGTAAACAATCAAAGCAACAAGTAGTTTTGCCCATTTTTTACAAGCTGGATCCGTCGGATGTGCGAAAACAAACAAGTAAATTTGGTGACGCATTTGAAGGCCTTATTGAAAGCAAATTCAAAGATAACGAGGAGAAGGTGCTCATATGGAGGGAAGCTCTTACAAAAACAGCAAATTTGTCCGGACATACTTTCAAGGATGGAGAGTACGTATATTTCTATCTTTATCATTTTCATGTTTAATTTTTTCTCTCTTCTTTCTCTAGTTACACATTTAATTGTTACTCATTATTAAAGAAAAGTATCCTTTTGTAAAAATATTAAATTGTAGGGAGAAGATCTTTTTTTAAATTTTTTGTATTTTTATATTTTCGATAGTTGTAGGGCATTATGTTTAATTTAGTGTCTTGATTCTATATTTCAGGGTTATCTATCTTTTTCAAGTTAATTTAATTTCTTTTTCTTTTTTACTTTGGTTACATTTAATTGTTACTCATTAAAGAAAAGTATTCTTTTGTAAAAGATGTGGAAATGCTTTGGTTACTTTGGTTACATTTAATTGTTACTTCAGTATGTCATGTTCTTTTGCGTGGTTGGATATTTAAATGTGTTGAATTTGGTTAAACTGGCAGGTATGAAGCTACATTTATCAACAACATCGTTGATGAAATCTTAAGCAAAGTACTGGGCCGCACATATTTGAATGTGGCCAAGTACCCAGTTGGAATTCGGTCTCATGTACAAGATGTGAAAAAGCTTTTAGATGTTGGTGGGAATGGTCGTCGCATGGTTGGGATATGGGGGACATCTGGAATAGGGAAGACAACAATTGCAAAAGCTATATGGAATGAAATTGCCCATAAGTTTGAAGGAAGTTGTTTCTTGCCAAATGTTAGAGAAGGAAGCTTAGTCCAGCTACAGGAGACTCTTCTTGATAAGCTTCTAGGCAAAAATTTGAAAATTGGCAATGTTGATGAAGGAATCGGTGTTATAACAGAACGGCTGAGGCATAAAAAGATTCTATTAATTCTTGACGATGTGGACCAATTGGAGCAGTTAGAAAACTTGGCTGGAGATGGTTGGTTTGGTGAGGGTAGTAGAGTCATCATAACTACAAAAGATAGGGGATTGCTAGACAACCGTGAAATTGAGTTGATATACAAGGTGAAGAAGTTATATTACAACCAAGCTCTTGAGCTTTTGAGTTGGCATGCATTTGGAAGAAGTGAACCTCCAGAAGATTATTTGGAACTCGCACAACGTGCAATAGCTTTTGCTGATGGCCTTCCACTAGCCCTAGCAATTTTAGGTTCTCATCTTCGTAATAGAGGAATACGACGTTGGCAAGTTATATTAGATGATTACAAAGGAGAACCTTATACACATATTGAAAGAATACTTCAAAAAAGTTATGATGCCTTGGATCATCGCGCAAAAGAATATTTTCTTGACATTGCATGTTTCTTTAAAGGTGAATATGAGGACTATGTGCTACGAATAGTACCCAAAATATTCATTGAAGAATTCGTTGATAAGGCATTGATAACTATTGAAGGGAGAATGATTTTAATGCACGACTTGCTAGCAAACTTGGGCAAGGATATAGTTCACAAAGAATCCCCCAATGATCCTGGCCAGCGTAGTAGATTGTGGTTTTACAAGGATGTCAAGCTAGTTCTAACGGAAAATACAGTAAGTATAATATATGTTATTATATTCAATTTGACAAGAAAGAATCATTTATGTAACCTATAATTTTCTTAACAAAATGTGCTTGCATTTTGGTTTGTACAATGACTTCATTTCCTAATTAATGCTTTTCCATCTCAGGGAACAAGAAATATTAAAGGCATCATGGTGAAGCTTCCGAAAGCAGCTAAGATAACTTTGAATCCAGAATGCTTCCGTAATATGGTGAATCTTAAAATTTTTATAAACCATAATGCATCTCTATGTGGGGACATTAACTATCTGCCCAACGTGTTAAGATGGATTGATTGGGATGGATATCAGTTACAATCTTTGCCACCCAATTTTCAAGGAAATCATCTTGTTAAGTTCAAAATGTCTCGCAGTCATATCAGACAATTGGAGGGATTTAAGGTATGTATTTGAAATTATTTTCATCTATTATATATAATTTCAAATACAGTTGTTAATTTCAGAAGGAAAAAAATAGGTATTCAAAAAATACTTCGAAAAAGTTATGATGCCTTGGAAAATTCTGTGCAACAAGTTTTTCTAGACATTGCATGTTTTTTCAAAGGTGAAGCTAAGGACTATGTGCTACAAATAGTAAGCAATTCTAAGAACAAGGTCTCCCGAGATTGTATTGAAGTACTCATTGAGAAGGCAATGATAACTATTGACTATGGTGGGATTCAGATGCATGACTTACTAGAAAAACTGGGCAAGGATATAGTTCATGAAGAATCCCCCAATGATCCCGGCAAGCGTAGTAGATTGTGGTTTTACGAGGATGTTGAACAAGTTCTAACGGAAAGTACAGTAAGTATCACATATGTTATTATATTCAATTTGACAATAAAGAATACCTTATGTAACCTATATAATTTTTTAACAAAATGTGCTTGCATTTTGGTTTGTAAAATGACTTCATTTTTTAATGTTAATGCTTTTCTATCTTAGGGAACAAGAAATATTAAAGGCATCATGGTGAAGCTTCCATACCCAACTGAGATAACCTTAAATCCAGAATGCTTCCGTGATATGGTAAATCTTGAAATTTTCATAAACCGTAATGCATCTCTATGTGGGCACATTAACAATCTGCCCAACGCCTTAAGATTTATTAATTGGGATAGATGTCAGTTACAATCTTTGCCACCCAATTTTCAAGGAAATCATCTTGTTGAGTTCAATATGCCTCGAAGTCATATCAGACAATTGGAAGGATTTAACTTTAAGGTATGCATTTGTAATTATTTTCATCCATTATATATAATTTCAAAAGGAAAAAAAGGAAAAATTGTTTTCTAAGTTTTTGTCTTTTGAAGTGTGTGATTAATTATTTCCTGTTTTTGTGTTCTTGTCTCACAGCATTCGCCAAATCTGACAATTATGAATTTGAAGGGTTGTCAATTCTTAGAAAAAATCCCTGACTTATCTGGAATCCCAAACATAAAGTACTTGAATCTAAGCATGTGCACACGTTTGGTTGAGGTTGATGGTTCTGTTGGATTTCTTGATAAACTTGTTGAATTGGATCTTTCTGGATGCGTTAAGCTTATGAGGTTTGGAACAACACTTAGACTGAAATCTCTTGAAGAACTTGATCTTAGTGATTGCGGAAGGCTTGAGAGTTTCCCGAAAATAGAAGTCAAGATGGAATCACTACGGAGTTTGGACATATCAGGAAGTGGCGTAAGAGAATTGCCTTCACCAATTGGATATCTTACTGGTCTTGAAACATTACACGCTGATTATTGTGAGGACCTTACAGTTACGGTGAACTCCGAATTGCTTCCCAACCTATATCAATTTAGTCTCATGGGATGCAATCTATCAAAAATTAATTTCCTCCTGCTCCTTGATTGCTGGTCCACAGTAACAGAACTTTATCTATCGGGAAACAATTTTGTCAATCTTCCGATATCCTTTAGCAAATTTGTCAACTTGCTGAATCTTTACTTGAATGATTGCAAGAGTCTTCTGGAAATTCCAGAACAAGTGCTTCCACGAAGAATAGAATCCGTATTGCTGGATAACTGCACATCATTGGAAAAAATTCCAAAACTGGCTGGGGTATTCTTGGATAACTGCACACCATTGGAGAAAATTCCAGAAATCTCATCGGTGAATCACAAATTTAATCTGAGTTTGGCCAATTGCGTTAGACTACGCGGCTACGACATCACAGAAAATATTTTTCTGAATCAGGCTTCTGTTTCTTCTCCGCATTCTCATTTCCACATTAATCTTCCAGGCGATGCAGTTCCAAAGTGGTTCAGCTGTTGTAAAGATACACCTTATTCTTCTAGATGTGAAGTTAGTTTTGAAATTCCTCCAAATTTAAAAGGGGAGACATTAAGATTGGTTCTGTGTGTTGTTACTCGTGGTACTGCCAAGATTCTTCTCAATGGAAAACTCGTCAATGAGATAGGGATTGGATCATATGATAAATTCGATCGTATTGGATTCCTGGAAAGTCATATGTGCCTCGCGTCTATTCCATTATTGGATTGGCGAAAGGCGTACGTGCTTAAAGAACCACTGACAAAGCAGGGTAATACGTGTCAAGTTATATTTAACTTTTCAGGCAATATGCCCACACTCGTTAAAATTCCCTACGGGGTCCACCTATTAGGCCACCAGGTTGTTGATCATGGGCCAATGCAGTTGTTGTTACCTGATGTGATGGCAGTGGACGATGATATTTATGATGATCAACACCAAGACTGCGAATTGCTTTCCTTGTCTTTAGCATCAAAGACTAATCTTGGCAAGAGGCCTCGCCAATCAGATTACATGGCACTTCACGATGATCATCGTGCTAACGTCGTCGACATTGGTGATCATGAAGCTCAATGGCTTACCTTGTTTACGGGACCAGCGGATCACCAAAAGAGGAGGCACATTGATCTCAATGAGGAGCCAAAGTATGTAAATTCATTAAATTTTGAATGATATCTTTGCATTTTCTGGTCGTATATCTGCGTTTTGTGTTCAATTCAAATTTAGCAATATTTTGCTGTGCATCTCTGGGGTATAGGTTGTAGTTTTCTGGGTGAGTTTTTTTTTTCTTTTTGTTTTGGGTTAAATCTTTTTTCTTAGCGCTCTATATTCGATATTAAATTCTCAATTGATGCATCCAGCATTTATCCGCGGATGAACAAAGCCGGATTTATCTAATGCTTTCATTCCACACATATTTTGTCTATGATTCTTCTTTCTCATTCACTGGAATTGATACATGTTGGGAGCAAAATGTAACAGATTTATCTATTTCATAATTTCCAATCAAGATTTATTGAAAATCAGACATTAATTGTAA